TATTTAATGATGGGAAGTTCAATTCCATTCACTAGACGTTTCAGTTAATCAAATGTCTAAGTCAAAGATGTATTCACAAGTCAAATTTATCACCTCCTCCGTACAAGTTTAGGTGAATCCTGTCCATTTTTGTTAATCTATTATTATACCAAAACATTGCTGCAAAACACAAGAACAGGCTGTTCAGTGCAAACTTCATTTAAACTACATATGAAATGAGTAAGCAGGTCCTTTCATCAGACACACAAATCCACAGCTGATGTTGATTTATTTGTTATTGGCATTGGAACTTGGTAGAAAACAACATCTTTTACGTTGTCAGGTTCTTGAATGGTTGGAGTAAAGTTTCAAATCCTGCTCTCGAACATTTTCACACACCGGAGCATTTTATGTTCTGAACATTTTGCTATACCTGCATTAAATTCAACCCAGAATGAGAGCATAAAAAATTATAGCAAGTGACATAGTTTGAAATTTACACTGGGAAAGCAGTCAAAATTCTAAAATAAACAGACAAGTGTTGATCAAAGGTTGGTTAGCTGATACCAAACTGATGTTGAAAGATTTATTCCAATAAATTTAAATGAGTAAAGTGTAAAATGAGCTTGAATGTGATGTTTAACACTTCTGTGGTGTTTCTGTGGTATAGCTGTTCTTTCTGGTATTTACTATGTGATATGGGGCATCTGGTGAATTGGGTACATTTTGCACTGATAACATAGCCAGACACTGTACGACTGTTATGGACTAAAGATGCCTGTCTTTAATATGAAGCCCGAAACGTTTTCTATTAGTTGAATTGTATCTGTCATAGATCATTTATGCTGAATTTGCACATATTCACCTCTCCTGTTTAGTAGTGTTCAAATTGTAAGTCACTTTGGATAAGAACATCTGCAAAATGTAAATGCATAAATATAATATTTACATTTGTGTCTGTTTAAAGAATGTATAATACAGAATTCAAAAGAAATTGTTTTGTCCTTTTAACCAATGGATCTATGTCTGGGCAAAAGCATTTGTTATGACTGTATTAAATAATGCCACAATCCCCTTTGGGACTATTAGCCATTTTTATTTTGGGAAATAAATAATAGTAAAAAAAAATCTATAATTTTTAGTATATTATCTTTTTTCCACTGACAGAGCAAAAGCACAACATATTTGATAAGGGCTCATCATAAAATATTCCGGTTATCTTAATGCTATCATAGAATTGCAATCTTGACCAATGATAAATTGTTTTGAACAGTAACCAGCAGCAGCCAAAATAACCAATTTCTTAATGCAGTTGTCTTTTCCCTCGACTGACTTTGGTTGCCTGTTTTGATGGAAAGACCTTTTTACGGTAAAAGAAAATAATATTCTGTCGAATTTCTTTTGTTCTCAGGCCATATATTAGCGGATTAAGTATTGGAGGAAATATCATGACAGAAGCACCTAAGGCCCGTCGTAGGTGGGAGGGTGCTGAGTCAATTCTATGAGCAATCAAGGCAAAGCATGCACCGAATTCATAACATAAGAACACAATTAAATGTGTACCACAGGTCTGAAGTGCTTTACTTTTGGCATCAGACTGTCTTTTAACCACAACTGTGATTAAGATTTGGATGTATGTGAACGCCACTATCAGCAGAGACAGACCGTCATAAAAAGTCATTATAAACAGTCCATAGTAGTTATTAGCATTTGTATCTCCACACACAAGCTTCATTAAAGATGGATTATTGCAGAAAATGTCCACTATTTTTGTGCTACAAATCTCTGTGCGGTAGTTCACTCCAAGTAGAAAACCAATCATAATAAAATGCAAGGTCCACATTATAATTATCATTTTCATCAGGTTCTTTGGAGACATCAAGGTGTTATATTTCAATGGATAACAAATGGCAACGTATCTGTCATAAGCCATAGCACTGAGAATGAGAAATGCTCCAGTTCCATACAGATGTACCAGTAAGGCTTGCACAAAACAAGCAGAGTAAGTGATGGATCTATTCTGTGACAGAATACTAGATACCAGCTGAGGGAAAAAGGCTGTGGCACCCAACATATCATTGATTGGCAAGTTAAACAGTAGAACATACATAGGCTTATGGAGTTTCCTGTTCAAAGCAATTGTTAGCAATACAGTCATATTGCAAACCAAAACTGCACAATATGTAAGGGTTCCAAATATGAATGCTGGCAAAGTATTAGAAGTATGAATGTCCAGTGTTTCCAAAGTCAAATATGTTGTGTATCTGGAGAAATTAGATTCCATTTGTGCTTTGTTGTGTTTTAAGTTTTAAAGTATCTACAGTGGGTTAGGGTTAGAGTGTTGTTGTTACAGTGGTTGATTTCTTAAATGATAATAAGATTGCTTACCTAGAATAAACCTGCATGCCAAATCTTTTATCACCTGGAGAGAATTGGCTACATAGTTTAGCAGTGTATGTGAGGAATATATCAGATATGCATCAGTTCAAACATGTAAATATGCTATAAGTTTGCCTTGCGTGGTATTTTTATACACTCTGCCTTAAAGGTAAGTCCTTTCCAAATCCCAGCTGATCACTCTTTCAGTACCATGGCTCTACAAGATCAGAAACCCATGTCATTTGGGATAGTGAGCAGACCACCCTTTAGTGCTTGTTTATTAAAAACAAAAACACTTCTCAAAAGTCCATCAATGTGTACCTCAGCAAAATCATGTAATCATCCAAGATCATCTTCACACTGTTGACCCAGGATACATCTACTATTTTTGATTCAGAGACATCGTCATGCTTTTCTTCGATTTTGTGGAATATTATACAGAATTTGTGGATATTGATTCAGGACTTCTATTGCTATAGTTAATATTATTTTGGGATCATCAGTGCTAGACATCAGTCGAAGGTCAAGATAAGTGTAATGGTTGTGAACATTAATAAATCTCTCCAGGATCAACCTGAAGAGTCCAAAATATGCATAGAAGGTACTATTTTGATGATGACCCAGGATTAACGTTGCTATTAACAAACTATTAGCCAAGACCACTGATGCCAAATCAAATCTCTGGACAGTGGCCCTGTGGTTTCCAATCTCACAAACTTTGGACTTGTGCCATTCACTGAAATGCACCACATCAGGATGTCAGATCTGCAAGGCTGCATGGCTACGAGCATAAAAACAGTTCTAATGAGACGAGACTTTAGCTCAGCTCACGTCTGCAAATTTGCACTTTTTTGTGTATTACTTACTTTGGATGACATTCTTCATTTGTCTATCTAAAGTTTTTATATTTACTATTTACCCTGTTTAGTTCATGTCATCATGTACATTATGCTATGAATTCTGGGTAACCCCTCATGCAAAAGTGTGCATTCAAAAACACTTCTCTGGAAGTCTGCATTAGCCAATACTCCTTGCAGATGGCACAATTAGACAGCATTATAGCCCTGTGAAAGTGGAGCAAAATACTCTTGTGATTTGAAGATTCAGGTTTTAGGAACTGAAATGAACTACACAGTGTAACTCTCTGCAAAATCTGCAGAGATCTGTAACTGTTCCAGTGGCTTCCACATGGACACAGTTCAACATGGAACGCTTCAAAATTGGGCTCAGCATGTTCAGTTAGCTAACCATACTCGGAGCCACAGAACCGTTCAGGGAACAATGTAATGACGTAGCTATTCACTGATTGGTTCTATGTTTATGTCGCTATTGTGCCACAGCATCCTGCTGCAGTATTTCAAACCTGAAAGCAATCAAATATGAATCAAAGCAGTGCACGATTTTAAATCCACCATTTAATAAACATCAAAGCTTCAATCTAACACAAATTTCAAAGTGTTAAACAGTGCTGCTAACCAGAAGAGAGTAGCTGGATAGCGTTAGCTTAGCTAGCATGCTGCCAGCACTGCTCACCACAGAACAGATTCGATTCTGACCAACAAAAGCTTCACTGACACAAATTTATGATAATGATAACGACTCATATCTGAGGAAGCGAAGTTGAGTGGCTGATATTAGAGAAACAGAAAGCTGAAACTCAACCTCTTCTCTGGTGTCTGAAGCTGGAGCCTCCTAGCTAAGCTAACGCTACCTGGCTTCTCTCCTAGCTAACTTAGCTTAGCTAAAGAGGTCCAAACACCACAGTGCAAGTTTGATTCTGCTAACTGCTGTGCTGTCACAAGCATAGATGATAAAAACTTATTACAGCAAGAGCAAAGTCGACTGTTCGGTGTTGGAGTGGCAGAAAGCTGAAATCAGACCTGTTCTGTAGTGCTTTAAGCTGTGGCCTGCTAGGCTAAACTAACCTGAGTGCACGGTGCCTCCCACTATAAGTATGGGCTCGGTTCAAGCAAACCAATGGTTGAAAGCACCTGTTTAGAGGACAAAGAGTCATATCTGAGAGCACAAATTCGAAAGACTGGTGTTGAAGTGACAGAAAGATAAAAAAATAGAATTGTTCTGTGGTGCTTTGAGTTGTACCTTGGTGGGTGACGCTAATATAGTTTTCTGGCTACACATAAAACCCACTGCAGTACAGGCTGTTTCAGTAACACATGCTCAAATAACACCCGTTTAGAGGATAAAGAAGAGAGCACGCCAAGTGAGTGGAGTTTGAGTGACAGACAGAATCAAACGTTTTGCGGTGCATGGTGTGTGTGTGTGTGGCTATTAGCCTGTTAACAGTTAGCCACTCATTTGTATAGTTTTCTTGGATATTTCCTGATTCTGGTTTAGTGGTACAACAGGTGGAAACAGAAACCCGTAACCGGTCTAATGAGTCCAGACCAGTGCACTAGGAACTATTTGGACTATTAGCCATTTTTATTTTGGTTAAAAAGAAATAGAAAAAAAAAATCAGTATTATTTAGCATTTTGTCTTTTTTCCACTGACAGAGCAAAAGCACAACATATATTTAAACAGGGCTCATCATAAAATATTCTGTTGATCTTAAAGCTGTCATAGAATTGTAACTTGCAATGACAAGTTGTTATGAAAAGCAGCAGCCAAAATAACCATTTTTTTAATGCGGTTGTCTTTTCCCCTGATTGAGTTTGTTGTTCTGTTTTGTTGGAAAGATCTTTTTATGGTTAAAGAAAATAATATTCTGTCGAATTTCTTTTGTTTTCAGGCCATATATTAGCGGATTAAGTATTGGAGGAAATATCATGACAGAAGCACCTAAGGCCCTTCGTAAGTTTTGGGGTGCTGACTCAATTCTATGAGCTATCAAGGCAAAGCATGCACTGAATTCATAACATAAGAAAACGATTAAATGTGTACCACAGGTCTGAAGTGCTTTACTTTTGGCATCAGACTGTCTTTTAACCACAACTGTGATTAAGATTTGGATGTATGTGAATGCCACTATCAGCAGAGACAGACCATCATAAAAAGTCATTATAAACAGTCCATAGTAGTTACTTGCGGTTATATCCCCACACACAAGCTTCATTAAAGATGGATTATTGCAGAAAATGTCCACTATTTTTGTGCTACAAATCTCTGTGCGGTAGTTCACTGCAAGTAGTAAACCAATCATAATAAAATGCAAGGTCCACATTATAATTATCATTTTCATCAGGTTGTTTGGAGACATAAATGTGTTGTATTTCAATGGACAACAAATGGCAATGTATCTGTCATAAGCCATAGCACTGAGAATGAGAAATGCTCCAGCTCCATACACATGTGTTAGTAAAGCTTGCACAAAACAAGCAGAGTAAGTGATGGATCTACTCTGTGACAGAATACTAGATACCAGCTGAGGGAAAAAGGCTGAGGCACCCACCATATCATTGATTGGCAAGTTAAACAGTAGAACATACATAGGCTTATGGAGTTTCCTGTTCAAAGCAATTGTTAGCAATACAGTCATATTGAAAACCAAAACTGCACAATATGTAAGGGTTCCAAATATGAATGCTGGCAAAGTGTTAGAAGTAGGAATGTCCAGTGTTTCCAAAGTCAAATATGTTGTGTATATGGAGAAATTAGATTCCATCTGTGCTTTGTTGTGTTTAAATTTGAAAGTACCTACAGTGGGGAGAAGAACAGAATAAGCTATGCAGAAAGAGTTACACAGCTTGGTTGATCTCTTAAATGATAACAAGATTGCTTACTTAGAAAAAACCTACATACCAAAATCTCTCATCACCTTTAAAAAGGAAAAAAAATAGAGAGAATTGGCCACAAAGTTTAGCAGTGTATATGAGAAATATATCAGATATGCCAGACATGTAAATATGCTGTGAGTTTGCCTTGCGTGGTATTTTTATACACTCTGCCTTAGAGGTAAGTCCTTTCCAAATCCCAGCTGATCACTCTTTCAGTACCATGGCTCTACAGGATCAGAAATCCATGTCATTTGGGATGGTGAGCAGACCACCCTTTAGTGCTTGTTTACAAAAAACACTTCCATGAATGTCCATTTAATGAAAATCATCTAAGGCCATCTTCAGATAAATTTGTTGATATTGATTCATGACCACTATTGTTATATTTAATGTTATTTTTGGATGATCATTACATTATTAGTGGTTGTGAACAGTAATAAATCTCTCCAGGATCAACCTAAAGAGTCCAAAATATGCAGAGAAGGTACTACTCTGATGATGACCCTGGATTGACATTGATATTAATAAACTATTCATATCTGTAAGGAAGGGACTACTTTGTGGAAATTGAACATAGTGTTTCTGAGAAAGTGCCCGTGACCTGTGGTGTCCCCCAGGGTTCAGTTCTTGGGCTACTCTTATTTAATTTATACATGCTGCCTCCTGGCCAAATACTACAAGACTACAGGTTATCTTACCACAGCTATGCAGATGATACTCAGATCTACTTTCCAACAACTGTGGTCCCCTTGATTCACTTTGTAAATGCCTTGAGCACATCATTAACTGGATGGAACAAGCATGTAAGGTTGAGGTACTAATGGATTCTGATCTTAGTTTTCGCAGTTATGTCAAAGCACTACCTAAATCATCTTAAGAACATCAACAATATCAAGACATCAACAAGAGATTTTCTGACTAAACCAGACCTGAAGAAACTCATTCTTGCCTTTATTGTCCAACGGACTCTCCTTGTCCATTTAGAACTTCAAAATGAGATAGGTGGGTGAGCTGGTCACTTTTGATTTTTTGATGAAACATTGCCATGCAGGGTAACAATATACTGAAAGCTGCATTTTCTAGGTTCAGCCTTCTCTTGTCTGAAGTACCACTGTGTGGAACAAAGGCTTTCATTTCTGTCACTCTTATCTGTTTTGTTGGATTCAGTGATTTCTCACCAGTGATAGCCTCTTATTTATTTATTTATTTATTTATTTGCATTTTCCCAGGAACATTTGAGACATGTCTTCTTTAATATAAATTTATTTAAACAAATCTTGAAACAAGCTTTAACGAATGAACTGTTAATAGCAGAAATATTTGCAAATGCTAAACAATTGTCACTGTACAGCATATTAGCTTCCTTACAGTATTCCATATTATAGTTGGCTCTGGCCTATGTGTAGAAAGACCTGGCCCTTCTTAGAAATTTTTGAAGACAGTAAGTGGTAAGCTATGTAAGTGTACATACATTTCATACCAAATAAGTCTATGTCTACTACACTCTCTGTTCTTCAACAACAAGACTCCAAATGTATCAAGTTCAGAAGAGCAAGTTCCTTAAAAGAGTTTATTTTTCCAGGCTAGTATATTGTGTTTACTTTTCTGAGCATTCAGGTTTTTCACCATTAAAATATAACAGTTTAAACACTTGCAACTGGATACTTCAAGTCTCAGATGGCTGAACATGACATGCAGGTTAACCACAAAAACCCAGGTAATTTTCTTACTAGGTCCATTTAATTAGTTGATGAGCACCTTTATTTTGTCTGAAAGGAGATCACAGGTCACTATGGTGTTTATGCATACATTCAAACGGATATTTTAATTTTTACAAAGGTGAAATGAAATGACATCTACAGAGCACTGAGGGACAATGCGAAACAATACAAATGTCTGACAAATCATATGGAGCACTAAGACATATAGTGCCAACCTGGAATCATGACTGGCTGAGTGTAAACAGCAGTAGGATTAGAGAGCTTAATGTAGCAGTAGAAAGCTTACAGTTAAAGAGGCCTTTGGACCTGGAGCTGACAGTAAAGCTTGAGTTTTATGGTCATTGGTTTTAGATTTGACCTATTATATTACACATAATTTAATTTAATGTTTTGCCTAAAGCCTTTTAATTCATTTAATTCACAGTCGACACTTTAAGTGGTCCTTTTAGATGAAATAAACAGGGTTAGGATTAGGACCAGGGTTAGGTTTTAGGTAAAGTTGGGTAAGATTAGATTTTGTGTAATGCAAGATATTTACTTCAGTGTATTCAGATGCTTCACTACTGCTACTCGCACTGATATGTTGTTGATGTCTTACTGATAATCTGTTAAGAGTTTATTAATCATCTACAAAGGACCACTCCAAATTAAGTGTGACCAATTCACATTCTCCATTACATGTGTTTCAGGAACTTACAAGCTCTTGTATTCTACCCAAATGTGTTTTTTAGTGTGATTTACTTTCACTACATGTTGGAACATTTTGACAAACCTGTGACATTTCTGAAGACCTGTTCATTTAAAACAAGAGACCATAAAAACTTACAGTTTTAGTTTTATACTTTTTGTCATGCATAAAAATAACAAAAACAAATGACCTTCTAAACAAAAATCTTCCTGCGGAACACCCTTAGAAAACTGCTCCTCACTTCACTTGTGTTTAGTCCATAAACTATAGGATTCAGAAATGGAGACACTATAAAAATAAGCATCCCCATAATTTTTTGCAGATCTGTTGACACGTTTGTAAATCGATGTGAGATAATTTTAAAAGTCCCAACAACTTCAAATATGAGGAAAATGACCAGCTGTGCCAAACAAGTATTTATGGCTTTGCTCTTTGTTTCAGAGCGACTTGTGGCCAAGCAGGTGATCAGAATCTTTATGTATGAGAATGCCTGAATGGAAACACTTATAATTTGCATGACAGCTGTGTAGAACAGGCCGATTATGTTGTTTATCATAGTATTAGCACAAGTAAGTGTCAGTAGAGAGGGGTTATCACAAAACACATTCAGAATGGTGGATCTGCATCTGGGAAGCTTGTCCTGGAGAGAGAAAAGTGAAACAATCATGATGAAGTCCAGGCCCCAAACTAAGGCTATAATAGTCACCACAACCCTGGGTGTCATTAGTGTGCTGTAGTGGAGCGGGAGACAGATGGCTACGTAGCGATCAAAGGCCATAGCGGCCAGGATAAACAAAACACCACCCCCATACATATGGAGCAGGAAGCCCTGAAGGACGCAAAGTGGGTAATAGACTTTGTTGGTTTCTGTTACAATGTCTGACAACACCTTGGGGAACATAGCAGTAATTCCAATGAGATCATTCAGAGGAAGGCTTAACAGAATGAAATACATAGGCTTGTGAAGGCTCCGCTGCATTATGATAAGAAGTAACAGTGTAAGGTTACAGAAAAGAGAAAAAAGGTAGATAAAAAGTCCAATGAAAAATACTGGATATTTTGCTCCAGACGGGATAAATAACGGATCCAAACTAATCTCCAAGTTCACAGTGAAGGACATGTTTTCCATTAGAAATCATGAACCTGCAGGACACAACAAAAATAATAAATTAAAAAAATAAACAGTTTAACAACTCGACCACCTTGCTCTAATAATTTGCCCTCTGTCTGAACACCATGCAGTATTAAATACATTTAAATAACGAATTTTGTTACCTGTTGTGTCAAAGATGAAACACTACAATACTAGACGACTGCATTCTACCTGACTAGCAGTGTGCTTTTATATCATTACCATTTCTCTTCATGACATCACCAGTGAAACATCTGACAGAGCATCATGCATGGAAACAAAAACAAACAACTTAGATCACTGTATATTACTGATTATACTGACCAGCCACTCTTTAAAAAAATGAAAACCACCTCGTTTCTACATTCATTGTCCATTTTATCAGCTCTATTTACTATATAGGTGCTCTTTGTAGTTCCACAATTACAGACTGTAGTCCATCTGTTTCTCTGCATACTTTGTTACCCTGTTCTTCAATGGTCAGGAACCCCACAGGACCACCAGAAAGCAGGTATTATTTGGGTGGTGGATCATTCTCAGCACTGCAGTAACACTGATGTGGTAGTGGTGTGTTAGTGTGTGTTGCGCTGGTCTGAGTGGATCAGACACAGCAGTGCTGCTTGAGTTTTTAAACACCTCAGTGTCACTGCTGGACTGAGAATAGTCCACCAACCAAAATATCCAGCCAACAGCCTTCTGAGAGACCTGTGACTGCCTATGAAGGACTAGAGGATGACCAAACCAAACAGCAGATGAGCTTTCATCTCTGACTTTACATCTACAAGTTGGACCAACAAGGTAGGAGTGTCTAACAGAGTAGACTGTGAGTGGACACAGTGTTTAAAAACTCCAGCAGCACTGCTGTGTCTGATCCACTCATACCAGCACAACACACACTAACACACCACCACCACTCAGTGTCACTACACTGTACGTCGCATTTACTTCAGGTCAATTTATCTGATTCAACTGTAAGAAATGTACAAACAGTCACAGTGATTTCTTACCATTTAAGTCAAAAATCTGGTAAAAAAAAATCTGGAACTGGCTGTGTTTCCATAAGCCTTCCTAGTGGACATTGTGTTTGCTACCGTTGTCTCTGTTTCTTGAAGCAATCTTTATTTATTTATTTATTTATTTATTGGTGATCCTAGTAGTAGGAGCCTTAAAAAACACACGTGTTCATTTTGCATGATCATTCATTTTCTTTCCTGGGTAGCCAATCGCAACTGATCCTGGATACTCAATAGTTAATGACTGTGTTAATCTGAGATAGCAAATCCCTTTATTGATTTGATCCTGGATAGCCAGTTAGTCCTATTACTGACTGTATTGATCCTGGATGGT